TTTATAAGCGCACACCAAAACACGCACGCACGAACGCATGTACGCTGCACGCATGTACAGCCGATATAATAAAATATTTTGAACTCTGCGAAAAATCCGATTTTGGCTTCTGTAATAATCTTTGGAATAAGAATTTAAAAATTTTCAAAAGCTATACGTTTCAAAAAATTTGAGATATTGTTGATTTCACCTCAGTTTTCGAAAACCGAGCTCTGTGCGTGCGTGCGTGCGTACAAACACACGATTCGTGTCCGATTTGAATTTACTTGGTGGCGTTCGAAAGGGTTTCACCAAACATAGATTTTCAATACTGTTTCAACCGAGTCATAGGACTTTTTTATTCGTATTTCATCAAAGAATATTAAAAAAATCGTATCGTTTTGAAAATAACAATTTATTGCAATTTTTAAATAGTTTCGGTTTAAACAATTAGACACCGAGTTACGCCATGGTAACATTTATTTAAAATATCATCAGTAGGACAATTTGAAAAGAATTGCATAAAAAATTGAGGTGGAATAGTTAAATAACATAATATGAAATAATACTGATAGTGTTTAAAAATCGATCAAATAAAAATAAAAATTCCAAGGTACTTTGTCAATTGTGGCAAGTATACGAAAATTCCTACGAAGAAATCAAATCTATGGAGGAGGTCTGTGTTCAGTAGAGTATGCTGGTGGTATTTATTCAGTTTTTTATATAATTTAAAATAGTAAAAAATTAACACCTCAAATATTGCCCGCAAAATTCGATAATTTAACTTAATTGGAATGCTACTTTTCAAATCGGTTTGTTAAATATAAATAACATTATTTCGGATAGTAATTATTTCTGACGTAGAACCACAAATTTTCTATAAAATAAACTATTGTTTAACATTTAACCTAACGTTTTCAAATGAAAAAAAGTTACGAGATCTATTATGATTTGTACGCAGCTACTTTAATTTTGCAAATGCAAATGATTATCTTAGACTTTTAATTTCTGCTAAGAGAATCATTTTAATTCCTTATTGTTCACTGTATAACAATAGCGTCGATTAGTCTTTTGCATGTTTCACTTTGTTCAATAGAAAATATCTTAATTAGATATTTTGCAGCAGGTAAAATTTGAAGAATGTGGCGTTAAATCTGAAATAACAAAACCCTTAGGAAATTGATTTAAAATAAGTTTATTCTTCTCTTTTTCTTCTCCAGCTCCAAAAAGTTTACTGTTGGAGATGGGCCTCCTCCGTAGCAGGGAGGATTTTCCTTTTAGTTGTTACGCTTGGCAGGCGGATGAACATTCTTTCGTTTTTCATCTCGCGTGTTTGTTACTGCCGTTCGACTACGATATGAATTTACTGCCAGATATTGGAAGTCTTAAGACTTTTCTGGCGTATACTATAGCTGCCTCCTAATAAAAACAATAACAATAATATAAAAATAATCTTAATAAAAAATAAATACAAACATGTAACAATAATCTGATTAGGCTTTAGAGGTCATTTTCTGCCTATGTGCTTGTTTGAGTTTATGGTAATTCTTCTGTCTATTTCAAGTCTATTATAAGCAAAGCAACTGCTCACCCGCCGCTGGATTCCGGCTTAATGGTATGAGAGCTAGTATTATTAAAGGCAGAGGTATCTTAGATCTCGTAGGGTCAGTGTATCTGTGGGCTTTGTTTGACGTCGGTTGCAGGTGTACTTCCTATCAGCAGCGGAAATAAATAAGAGTGGTGCACTAGCTCAGATAGAGTATTGGGCTAAAAAGGTGACAACAAGTTAGAAAATGCAATTATAGAAAAAGCTCACAAATTTACTTAAGTACATTAAGTGTGACAACCGCCAAATGAGAAATAATAATAGAACAAACTGTTGGAGTCACTCTGCACCTATATTATGGTTGTAGCGCGAATGGGTCGGCTCGACCGGGGTAGGACCAGGCTTTCCAAAATACCAGCGTAAAATATTAGCTTAATGCTGCTGTCATTTGTATGGTGAGTGTAGAGAACTCTTTTAACTGAAAATGATGCATTTCATCTAAGTCCTCAGGAGTGACAACGCATCTGCGTTTTGGTTCTTAATCGAGGATGAATGTAGACGTCTATGAGCCTTAGCATCCACTTAAAATCTGGTATAAAAACGTGATGCAATAATACGAGTATTGTTTACACATTATATAACGCAAAATATAATTTAAATAGATGACATGTACTTAATGTGACGATACAGGAGCGTTTAGTTTCTAATAGAAAAATGAGTTATTGTAACTTCGGTACCAACAGGATGGAGTCGGCGCAGTCTCCTTAATCTTAAAAGCTTTTGCATTGAAAATTACATCAGAATATAACGAATAAACGAAAAGTAAAAGTCTACAGCATATTTCATTAGAGTGTTCTAAAGACATCTTAGAGTAATTACATACATAAGTATGCAAGGAAAGAACCTACAATTCCACATAAATTGGGTCAATATACTTGTTTCGCCTTTTATAATTTTCAAATAAGGCATTTTCAAATAAGGCCAAAAGAAATAAATTTATTGAAAGACATCGCGTGTTATATGAATAATATTTCTATTTCCCTCTTTTTTCTACAATGCTAAATAGAAGAGTATGTACACTTGTATCTTCTGATTTACTAGAAAAAGACATCCCTTTTGTAGTAGTATTATATTTGATGTTACTTTACAAGACATGAGGTCTTTATTCAATAGTTATTTCGTTCGCAATGTTAGTTACAATCAACATCGGTACAGCACCTATGGTCACGGGGGACTGAGGTGACTGACGTCCCGATGTCAAAGTTAAGAAAAGAGTACCTTCAGCTTTTTAATAGTTGTGTTTGGTCCGATCTACGCAGAATTAAAAAGCTAAAGGTACTCCGGGTTAACTTTGACATAGGGACGTCAGTCACCTCAGTCTCCCGTGACCATGGGTTCTGGAAAGCACCCGAAATGTCGGGTGTTAAAAATAACATAAATAAACGCGATAAATCCGTAAAAGTAGTTTGAATAAGAAATCATTATTATATTGCATTGCAAATATATTTGTTTCGCAAACATTAAAAACAAATAGTTAACCTTAATATGTAAGAATACTAAGTCTTGACAGACACTCGGTACAGCTAGTTGGATCCCATTTATAATATCAATTTTATATGCTGACCGACGATTCGCCTCGGCTTCGCTCGACAATTTTCTAGATCTTGACAAGAGCTCTACTTAACGGGTCCAATTGTGAGTGTGAGTGTTCATCAAAATCGGTTCAGCCATTCTCAAGTGATGATTTTTCATAGATGCGGCAATTGATTTTAATTTATATAGACTTATCACTTATTGTAGATCAGACCATAAACAATAATTAAAGAAGCTGTAGGTACTACGGGTTATCATTGACATTGGGACGTCTGTCACCTCAGTCTCCCGTGACCATGGGTGTTGGAAAACACCCAAAAATCGGGAATTAAAAACAATTTAAATTAAATGCGATAAAATCCGTAAAAGTAGTTTTAATCAATTCTTTATTTCCTGGTTACGTGGGGTCGTAAGAATTGATCCAGAATTAATAAAATTAAATCAAAATCCAAGCATACAATTGCAAAACTTTAAGATACTGTAAACTTGTTCTGTGTAGATTAGACCAAAAATTTAGAGTTTTAATTAAAAAGTTAAATGCGTAAAATATCTTTTATTCCATGTAATATAACTAAAGGAAGCCCCTCAATTCATGCTTATACACAATAATTGTTTTCGAACAGAAATTTCGAATGTGTCGCTAGCAATAATAAATATGGCGCACCTCCTCACTCAATGCCCGCAACAGGAATCTATGAAATGAATCTTGTATGTGTTCATTGTTTGGATATGCCTAACGCAATATATTTCTGTCTGGTCTATTTACTGGGATCAATTAAACAAAGAATGTAAAATTCGCCCCGCACATTATTTCTGTTAAATTATTTCACTAGGTTTTGAACTGCTTACTTATGTGATAGACAATTTTTTTATGTCAGAGGAGGTAACACGGATGCGGTAAGTGACTATTACCACCCATTAACAAATGCAACACCAGAGGAATTGCAAATGTGTCGCTTTAGCTATTGAAAAAAGGTAATACCAACTTAATTCAGATTTAGGCATAAAATGAGTCTTACATACCGCATAGTAAAATTCAAAATGTTTCTTTTGAACGAGTTTAAAAACTCTTTATAATTTGGAATTAAAATAAATTTACACTTTATCACTGATATGTAGATTAAGAAAACATTTAAATAAAACATAAGGAGCTTTAAAAAGTAGGACAAAATCCTATTAGCTTTGCGGAAGCTATTTTAAGATTCTCAGTAGCTTTGCGTAAAACGTGTTTTGCTTTCCTGATGAGTATACACAAAGCCTTGATTAAATACAAATATATAAACATATAGCTTCAATTTAAAGATAGTTTATGCAGTAAATTGTGCTCATAGGCAATAGGTACGGTGTATGTAATATATTATATGATGATATTTTCTCCATCGTTTCGTTTAAAATATAACATTCCCGATATTGCCGCTTTTAGATGAAACTCTTTTTGTATTATTTGACAGATGAAACAGAATGTTATGAAAACTTTTATAAAAAATATCATAAATGAAATTTTTTATCATTTACAAAAGTATACATCAAAGGGCGCAAAGGGTATAGGGTAGAATAGAGAGCTACACAGACTCGAATATAGGCGCAGATTTGCCTGCTTGTCGGTGAAAGGACCTCTTTAGTCTCTACATCCTCCGTAAACCTATCGATTTTTTTCATATTCAAATATTCGTCATTTCCGTTAAACGGCCACGTGCGTTGGCGTGCGTCTATGTACCTTTTCTACTTGTCGGTTAGTGTCGCGCATGCGCTCAGCGAGGCTACACGTGCACGCGTTTAGCTTGGGAGAGTAAAGAAATCTCGTGAGCGGCTATGGTGACCGCGCGTAGGAAGTTACGTGATTATTTTGTGTTACATGTATTTGTTTTGTTTTAGTATCAACATGAATAAAAACGACGAAAATATAACAAGATGGTTGGAAGAAGAGATGTCGGATGAAGAGGAGACCCATGAAGAAGATTGCAGCGACTTGGACTCCGTTTGTTCGGACAATCCCGTGCCTACAGAAGACTGCGAGTCTGATGACTGCTTGGGTATTTCATCTTCAGAGGAAATCGACGAAGATCAGGTGAGAATAGATTTTTGTCTTCACAGCTAGCGTAGAAGAAAATACCAAGAAGCCAGAAGTTTATTATGTATTATAACCAGACTAAAATTGGCCTCGATTTATTGGATCAAAGGTGCTCAAATTATTCAACGGCCCGACGAACGGAAAGATGGACCTTGGTAATATTTAATCGGCTGCTGGATATATCTGCTTCAAATGCTTACGTCATAAGTTCACATAATCAAAAACAACACAAGAATACAGAGAACCGGAAGCAGATTCAAATTTATGAAACGGCTAGCACAAGAGCTGACGACACCACACATGCGACAGAGAGGGTTTTGAAAACACTCCTCGGGACATAAAATGTTCAATACGCCGCATTTTGAAAATTGAAGATGAAATGCCCAGCTGTTCAGATTCAGATAAACTAGAAAAACGAAAAACATGTTCAACTTGCGATCCCAAGAAAAGACGCAAAACATTTCACCTTTGTTTTATGTGTAAAAAACCCATCTGTTTGGAGTGCGCCAAAAAATGTGCCATAATTGACATGAAAAATTGTGAACTTTACCCTCTGCAATTTTTATCAAATGTTCATAATTTTTATATTTTTATAATTTTGTTTTGTTCAAATGTTTAGAAATATGCAAATTGTTCTAATTTTAAGTTCCTATTTTGATTGATTTCATTATTTGAAGATGATTGTTAATTTTGAGAGAAATATGCCTGCATTTAACCATGACTATAACATTTTCTTCTATGAAATAACAAAAACATGTTTTTGTCATTTCATAGAAGAAAATGTTGTGTTATTTAGTTTTTTATTCCTTTCAATATCATTACTGTAATATAAAAGTGCGTTTCATTTTTTATTTATTACATTATTGAATCATATGACATAGAAAAACATGGTTTTAATGTAGGAGTCACTGTGACCGGAGGCAGGTACTTGCGTTACAAATATAGGTGGCAGGAACTTGAGGGTTAATAAAGAAAAACGTTATATGTCGCCTTTTATACAAATTATAATATTTAAAACATCTTTTACATATTAATATATAAAATATCAAATTAATTTTAAATTTAGATCACAAATCAGTTTAAATATTATTTCTAATCAATTTTTTCCAAAAATATCCAGATTTGAGATTATTTTACAGTGGTTTACTATTATAATCCACGTGACAACTGTAGGGTTAGTATTTAATTGGAAATTATGTCATATTGATGTGTGATGTACAGATCGATATCGATAATTTTTCATTAATATTTATATCAGAAAAAGAAGTATTCAAATTTATCATTAAACACTTAACTAAGAAGATGACTTATTATTATAATAAATTTGTGAATGAACAATTTTTTCCTTAGATTGAACAAATTCAAAATTATTTTTTAACTATAAATTCATCTTTACTAAATCTTCCATTTATTATTATATTTATTTACAACAAAATTTACAACAAGATTTCATCCATTAAGAAAACCTGGCTTACTCCATGTACTTGATAGAATCAGGCGTTACTTTGCGGAAATGCATTATAATAAGTGATATTAATTAATTAGCAATCTTCCGCTAACTAAATACAATGATGTGTCTTACCTGGATTCAAGAGCACCTCCCGCCCTCCCTCTATTGCGTGCACCAATCCCGTCACCACTAATCCCAACACCACTACTAACGGCACCACTACTCTCAACACAAATATTCCAGGAATGACACATCATCGATGATGATACGACACGTGTTTCGCCTCTACACGAGGCATCCTTAGGTGACGTAGACTCTACGGCGGCTGATCGCTGAGTGAACGGCGAGCTTTTTTTTTTGCGCCCGAAGCAAATATGGGCTACCCTCCGGAAAGCGGGGGAGGGAGGTTGGGAATGCTCATAGCATACCACGCAGCCGGCTGCGTGGTTATGTGGTGACTTTTACCCACTAAACCCAACCTTTTAGGAATTGGCTTAACGATCTGACTAGAGATCTCTAAGCCGTATACGAACGCGACCCTCCTTGGCAGAAAGGAGGGCGCAGCAGAAAGGAGGGCGCAACAAACGGCGAGCCAAAACAGCTGTTATTTATACACGCCGACACAACCGCTCCCCACCAAAGTAGCAAGCATCCGCGCCGTGCGATAACAAACCTGCGACTAATTAAACTTTGCGACTAAGACTTCAAAGCAATGGTCGCTGGCTAGGTTGTATCCAGTGTCGCCTATTAATACACTTAGCGCAACTTAAACCTTGCATTGATATAATAATTTTGACGTAGTGCTGGTAAGATAAAAATAAACCAATTCCCACTTTACATAGCTACTGTTCCTATTCGACAAATGCTCAGTTAAATCAAAACGATGGTGTGATAGTTTACATAAAGAATGTTTACAGAGCACTTGTCAAGGAAATAAAATTATACAAAGCTTCATGTTTACAAATAACTATAAATCAATACACAATTTTAGGTATAGATCGTTCTCCTTACATTACAAAAGCTGACGAATTTATTCACTCTATTGATTTACATCTAAATTCATTTAAAACTAGTCATATTATTATAGCGGTTGACATTAATATAAATTTATTACCTATTATGTGTGAGCAAAGCTATGAAAGAAATAACAGAAATCTTTATCTGACCGCTTTGCCTACACATGAAATATTTCCAGGCCACCATTTTCCTACCAGAGGATTGCGTTGTTAGGACCATTTATGCTAAAAATTGATAAAAAAAGAACAACGGTTTTCGTCGCAATTCTCGATACAACTATAACAGACCACAATATGACTCTACGTAGCCCAGTGGGCAACAATAGTTTAAGCAAATCTAATAAAACAAAATCTGTAACTGTCTTTAATGCCGCCTTAAACAGTTTTTAAAACAAATTAAACGTTTTTGACGATTTATATTTATGTACAGACCCAAATACTTCTAATATATTGATCGATAAAATATCTATTGCATTAGTTAAACACACCAAAACTTTAGCTGTTCCTGGGACAAAGAGATTTATCAAGCCCTGGATGACAGAAGGTATACTTCGATGCATAAGAAACAGAAATGCTATGAAAAAAAAAAAACAAAACAAGACCGAACTAATGATATATTAAAGATCACTTACCGTCGCTACCGAAATTTTTGTAATAAACTTATTAAAAAACAAAAACGTAAACATGATTGTAGCGTCATTTCTAAATCTTGTAAAAATAATAAAGTTCTCTGGAAAAATATAAATGAACACAATTAAAAAAAAGAATGTTTCAAATTTGTATTTATTAAATATAAAACCTACACCCCAGGATTCAGTTAATTATATTAATAAATATTTCTCCGGAATAGGTAGTTGCCTGGCTGAAGAAATTAAGTCTAAGATGCTATACAGCTCGATTCCTAAATCCACTTCTACTACTGTACTCCTAAACTCTTTTGTTTTGCTCGAAACAGATAATGCTGAATTAAAGTGGGTGATGATGAGTCTTGACTCTGATAGCGCTCCCGGGTGGGATAGAATTCCAAACAGGTTTTTGAAGTTGGGAAAGGATTTGTTTGTGCCCGTATTCACTTACCTTATAAATCTCTGTTTTACGAGTGGTATATTTCCTTACGCACTTAAACAATCATTAGTAACACCTGTTTATAAAAATGGAAAGAGAGACGATATAAATAACTACCGCCCTATTTCTGTCCTACCAGCTTTGTCCAAAATTGTAGAGAAAATCTTAAATACTAGAATATTAAACTACTTAAATAAATATAATATTTTATCAAATCAACGATTTGGCTTTAGAAAACAACTTTCCACAGAAGACGCTATTCTCACATTAAGCTCTTTAATCGTAAAGAATTTAGATAATGGCAAAAATTGTATTACAGTATTTTTAGACCTGAGAAAGGCTTTTGAATCGGTCTCTATTCCTGATCTTTTAAAGTTTTTGGAGCTTATCGGCTTCAGGGATACTTCGCTAAACCTGATTTTCAGCTTCCTACATGAGCGCACTCAGCGTGTTCATGTGGACGCTGTGTTGAGTGACGAAGAAAATGTTATTTTCGGCGTCCCTCAGGGTAGCGTCTTAGGGCCCACGCTGTTTTTGGTCTATATTAATGAGCTGTGCAAACTTTCTATTCCTCACGGTCACATCTTCTCTTTTTCGGGTGACACTTGGGAGGAAGTGAAAATGCGTACAGAATCGGGACTTAAAACTATAGCAGCCTGGTTAAATAACAACCTACTGCATTAAACACGCATAAAACAAATTATATTTGTTTTGCTATTTGCAATTACGCTCAACCACCAGCCAACTTCAGCATTAAAATACACACTTGCCAAGACAGCCTATTTTTTAATTGTGACTGTGCTGTTATTGATAGAGTGGACAAAACAAAATATTTAGGTGTTATTATTGACCAGAGACTGTCTTGGTATAACCATATTGAATTAATAACTGGCCGCATAAGAAAATTAATGTGGATTTTCAAAAAGTTAAGACATGTAACAACCAACGAATTACTGAATAAAGTATAAACAGCACTGGCTCAATCTGTTCTTACTTATTGTATCCCAGTATGGGGAGAAGCTTTATAAACAAGATTCCTTGAGGTTGAGCGAGCTCAAAGAGCCCTGCTTAAGGTCTACTATTTCAATACCATACCGATTCCCCACTACTAACCTTTATAATTTGATTGGTGTCTTGTCAGTTCGAATGTTATATATTTTATTCTTATTGCTTAAAATTCACAAATCTACTAGGTATGAACGTGACAAGACAAACAAAAGAAGAAAAGACTTAGTTCTACATACAGATCGCTTTAAAACGACATTTGCTTCAGTAAAATATGAAAAAAGGGCAGTATGCTTATAAAATAAAATAAATAAAATCTTAACCATATATCCATTGCATAGCAAAAAAGTTAAAAAGAAAACAATATAATGGTTGAAAACTTTATATTACAACGAAACCGAAACACTTTTAGACAAAATTACTTAACTTGTTACACATAATTAATAATTTACTAAATATCACACTACCTCAACATGCACACACCACATACA